AAGAATAGCTTAACTACTCCACATTCTGAATTCTTGCCGTCGGTCTGATGTTTACTGAGTGATTAGCGAATTTTTTAATATTAGGTGAAAACAGCCTGAAAACACAAATTTTCGTAAAACTCGCTTGTCGGTAGAATTTTAAAACTTTTCTAAAAACAAATATTGCGACGAGACGCAACGTGGTCGATTACGCATAGTTCATCTGTCCTGAAGGCTACCAATCATCACTGGATGCCAGTCCTGGGATTCGTAGGAAATCCGATACAACGTCCGAAGCGTAGAAAATCAAGGTCTCACTTGACTCTCAATTTGAAAAGGACACCCTAGGCTATCAGTCTGTGAAAACAAATCAATACAATCCTATTGGAAAAGTTTTATACGCGAGCTAATTTTCCGAAGATCCCCTGGAAAACCTGATCCAGAAAGCTCTTCTGGGAAAATGTTTGGTTATGAAAACATGTCCCCAAGTCTCCTCTTTCGAATGGTGAAAATTGAAGTTCTTTAGCTTTTTCCTATCGAAAGTTATTCAAAAAACAGTCATATATCATTCTTTTTTTGGATGGACAATAATCAGGGAAATTTCAGTGTTACTAGCAGTTAGAGTTTTATTGCTAGTTATGTGTTTCGAGAACAAATTTGCTTCTACTCAAACTATGCAAGAATTATCTATTTCACGATAAATAATAATATTAATAGATTTAGAAAACAGACATATGTAGATGTTCTGTGAATGAAACAAGAAAAGGGTTCTTTGTAATCAGTTATTTTTATTTGATTTATTCAGGTAAATCGAAGCAAAAATTTTGTTTACAGTGTGCGCTCATCGAACTGTTTAGTTATATGCAAAAAACCAAATTACCATATATTTCACCAGTGATGTTCGTATTCGAAGAATTATACTCTACACACAATTTTATTGAACAACAAGATGCCAGTGAATATTTATTACGTCTATTTCAACATCTCGATGTATCAGTAATAAAGAAAATATTTGAATTTAATATTCGACGAACAATGACCTGTAAATTGTGTGAAAAAACATCTCTAGCTATTGAATCTCACAATATTTTACCATTGCCTCTCAACAAAACATTAGGAAATTTAACAAATTTATTCGATAAGTTTTATCAGATTGAACATTTTACAGAAGAAAATGCATATCGATGCCAACACTGTCAGAAAATTCAAGCGGGTAAAATACAATTATCATTCGAAACACTGCCAACAGTATTAATCATATTATTGAAACGTTTTCGTGCAGATGGAAAAAACAAGTTAAACTATTCTATTCAGTATAATGAAATATTAGATTTGAAGAAATATTGTTCTATACCACAAGATATTTCTTCTTATCAGTTATATGGTATAATATGTCATGTCGGGACAAGTTCAAACGTTGGTCATTATATAGCGTATTACAAAGATCAATTAAATGATACTTGGTTTAAAGCTAATGATCATCAGATTACTAAATATGATATTAAAGATATATTGAATAAACGACGAAATAATGAATATATGTTATTTTATGTATCATCGTTAAATAAACTTAATATATCTAAGAAGAAACATATAGCAGGTAAGGGTAAAAAACAACTGATTTTTTTCTATTCATAGTCATCATACGTCTGATAATAACTAATATTCCTCGGCTGAACTATGAGTTTGATGAAAATGAAATCTAATTTGAAAAGTGACTGTGGATCGTACAATAGTTGTCTATCAGTAATCATTAGAGAGCCAAATGTTTTTATTCATATTATTGATAGAGAATCAGGGCTACATATTGGTAAAAAGAAAAAATTTTCATCTCTCTTAGATCAGAAATTATTAGCATTTTACGGAAACATGAACGATTTAAAGGTAAAAGAGACCTAAACTTGTTGAGTGATCGACATTCGATGAGAGCTATGACTAGGCATGCATCAGTTTCAGTTTTTAATCGGTTAACAGAATCCGATCATAACCGATAACCTTTAATTCATTTCTCATCGTGTAGATTGAGTCAGATAAAGTTGAGCCAAGCAGACAAAGTTTAGAAAATTAAATTTCTACATTTTTATCTATACTTGAAAAGTCTTTTTATTCACTAGATACTGGAATGAACAATCGACTACAAAGTCGATCAATTTTGGAAAATATCATATTTAAAGATTGTAAAGTCGTTTTACATAGATTAAGCCAAAATTATATAGAAAATGTTATTCAAATACAGCAAGTAAATATAAAATTTTTAGAAAAATCTACCGTGATAAAATTATATTATCATTTAAACGTTTGTTTTGTGAAGACAAAATTCAGTCCTTCTTTTCCTCATTCTAGCCAAACGAAATATCAAAATTCGCTTTATCATCTACGAAACAACGATCAAAAACAGTAGTGAAAACAATTACAATGATGACAAAGTCTCGATCTGAAAAGAAGATAAATCTACCGAAACGAGCGCCTTCAAATGAAAGTAAAATGCAGTCAATACAAGAACGTTTGTCAGCAAACAAACGAAAAACTTTTATAGCACAATCACCAGATCATTTGACTAAGTTACACAATTCCAGTACAAGAAAACGTCAAAAAACGACACCGTTGTTCGGAACAATAGACAAAAGAGAAAACGAGAGTAACCTTGTGGTTATTAGTGATGATGAAGATGATAATATTATTGATCTAAATTGAAGATTGACATTTTGTGTTGATCACGGTTTGTGATGCAACGAGATTACAATTCAACTGATTAGAAAGATGTTAGTCTAAAATCACTGATCTAATTAGAATTCCTTCTTTGAAAATATTCTAGTCGAAAAGCTAAAATTACTTGACCTATTTTCCCTCTAAACTAATTCACTTTTCAGAGATCTAGAATTTGGAGAACTATTTCTCATGCTAGTCATGGGTGAGTGTATTTTATTTCATGATAATATTTTTATATCTTACTCTTATCTTAAACAGAATTATGATTTCTATTAGTGATACTCTATTTTCTTCTTGTTTTTAAAAATTGTAAATGAAAAAACCTGTTTGATATTCATGATTAATATAATATTGATTAAAATGCTTGTAGATTGGTCTATTATGAGAAGTACTATAGTACTTGTTTTAGTTCTATTAGCCAATTCTTCATCAGTGATAATATAATTAATTGTAACATAATTTCATGTATATTGCCATCACCACATTGGTATGACTATTTATATACTAAACGTTCTCTAGCTTTTTGACTAACATTACCCTCTTGCTTGTTTCGAGCAATACTATTGTTAATAGTATTGTTTTGAATTCAGAAATATTTTTAAACCTCTGGAAATTTGTGCTTGTTATATTTATATTAAATTACGAAGCTTACACATGAAAACAGAAAAAAAAATCCAGACAGATGTTTTACTTAGGCGAACGCCGACCGAAGGGAGGTGTGAGCATTGTCTTCGATTTAAAAATCACCAAAGGGCGTTCGGTTGCGCAGATCCAAGTTGCTAAAGTCAAGAACCGAGCGTTACCTTGTACTCGATAAATATTGAAAAAAAATACTGAGAGTGATGCAAGAGTTATGGTAGGTAAATCTGACAGCCATTATTCTTGTATGTCTTTACCATTAACATACAGAAACACATTTATGCACGATATGAAGAACAATTCTTGAGAAGGCAGATCCTTAGATTGTGATTAGCTCTGAAATCAATGGGCTTGGCTTCTTCTATTAAATTAATCGTGGAATATTTTTAACACTTGTCGTTTGTGAATAACATAATGATCGCGAATCATTCAATTTGACGTCAAGAAATTATTGTTTCTATTGTGCATAAATTAGGAACCTGGAACTATGCTAAAGTTTGTACTTCAAATCTAAAACCAATCTGATTCATCCTGAATGAACAAATCTGCTGCAGACTACACAATTTAATATCATCAAGTCGCACAAACAGAAAAATATGTTTAAAAAATGAGTTTATCGATATTGTTGGAGATTTTAAAAAGTAAAGGTGAAGTAGATTGGGAAGCTGTCAGAGATTTTTGAGAATAATATCCTTTCTGTTTCAATACTTTTTAAAGTTTAAGATATAGCCGTTTCCAAGTGCATAAATTTCTGCGCGTAAAACAAGGAGTGTTGCATGGAAATAGGAAAGAAAATGGCTGACAAAGAGCGAAAAAAGTAGAGAAACACAGGCGATAAAGTGCGGAACATAGATTACAGATGCATAAAAAACTCTATTTTTATGCACTTCCTATCTGAGAAGTTTTGATAGCTGATGCTTAGATTTTTCAAAACAATGAGTTATTTATTGGTGGTTGACAGCTTAGAGATCTAATAATTCGTTGCATACCGATAAACTAGAGCCACTCAGGGGTTATGCGACCTGATGAATATGATTATGATAGAAACTATGAGGAATAACAGTTAGGATTTCTACTTCAAGGATACTCATCTTTTAGACATTTGGTGAGGATCTAAAGCTCTATAAAATTGTAGCATAACTTGAGATTGGTAAGAATAGACGGATCTTTACCTGATGATGTGTTTCTACAAATCATTTAGATGGTTTCTGGAATTAAGAGCAGCTGCGGCTAGTGGAAATGGCATTCGTAATTGAATAAATTATATATTAATTTAAATGAGCACAAAAATAGTTTATATACATAGAATTCTATTTCCATAAACTGGCTAGCATAAGAAACAAAGTGTATTGTCAAAATCAATAAAAAATCAAGTTTCGAACAATCGGTTAAACAAACAATATTGGTTTATGCCAATGTTATAAAAAAAGTACATTGTCTAATAGTCCTGTTTAGACAGTTTAAACAGCCTCTGCAAGTTTGAAGTGTTGTTAATCTGTACCCTCTTTATAATAATCTGTTCCTTCATTCGATGTCATATTGTCATCGGGTGCAATTTGATATACACCTCCAATGTTAAAATGTGCCATGCAGTTGATCTGATTGGCAGTCTCAGGAGGATTTTCTGGATAGCAATTCAATACGGTTCGGCGCCCATGTTGTGATACTGATCGAGCAAGTTTCATTGATCTGGTTGCACTCATCAAATCACACCATGGTAACGAGTGCAAGTTTTTTCTCTGATAATTATTAAAATCAACTAAAGCGTTCTTAAGAACTTGTGTTAGAGAATTTGGTGAATCATTAACATTCTGTTGTATCAAATGCAAAACTGGAGTGATTGTGCTCAACGTTGATGAGCAAAAATCTATGGTATCTTGATATTATACGGCATTGTTGTTGCAAATAGGTTCAACATATTCAGAAGAGTCATCATGTTCCAAAAATAATTCTCGAAATGTTTTCCAATTTTCCATATTTTCACCATTAAACATTCGTAATAAATACAAGTGCGTCACTAAAGTCTTCATCAGACAGTTTTACTGCTATCGAACACATGAAAGTTCAACACTCAGCAGAAAGCTGAAATAATGTTCAGAGGAGGATTTGTACTGACATCGCTTGCTCAGTAAAAATACCGTCAATTAACCGTGGTCAACCGAGCATTTTGTGCTGGTTCGTAGTTAATCGGACGGGAAAGCGCACACTCAACCGGACGGTTAACCGAGGTTAATTAGCGGTTTGATAAACATGGGTATTTTTAATTAATCGTTATGTAAAGAAAACTAGATAAGAAAACCATTGTCTTTCATGTTTGATGCCGTTTCGAATAAAACTACTCATCTCAAAACTCTCTAGTTGGCAACTCAGGATGGGAACAGTGTAAAAGAACATGATTCAGGCTTTGACGTTTAACATTTGTGAGGCTGAAACATGTGCTTTCCGCTGTCCTTCAACTAAAGAAGTTGATATCTTGCTGCAAGATTCTTACACAAGAAATGAAGTATTTTCTATCTCAAAACTTGATTACATCATGTTCTCAAATGGAGAAATTGTGTAAAAGTAGAACATAGTTGCTTAGTTGAAAGAGAACAAAAGGAATTTTTTTTCTTGTGACTCAATTCTAAGCACAACTGTTCTATGAAATACAATACCACTATAAATTTTTGATTCATTAGCTCCAAAATACCTGCTGGTTGTCCCTGCGAAAAATTTCTAGCCTGAACGTCGGCCGTTCGACAGTCACGATCGAGGCTACTTGTTGAGACAAACCGATTTCTTCAGTAAAATATGTGGAGAAACACCGATGTCCTTGAGGGCTGGGCGAATTTCTTAGATTCGGAAATAATCCCTTGTCCTACTATTCTAAGTGAGAAAAAATTTTACACTTCAACGCATTAATTATGCATTGGATGTGCATTCCATTCGTTAATTATGCATTAGATGTGAATTACATGAATTAATTATGCACTACTCCTCATACTGTCTACTATCTATCAGTCAACATTTATCCAGAATAGTAGAATAGCAGAACAGTAGAATACTAGAATAACAGAATACTAGAATAGTACCTAGAATAGGAGAATAGCAATTACGAAGCTTCTAAGGAGAAATATAACGGCTGCTGGACTTTTTCTAGGCAGGTCGCGCGGAAATTAGCCGCTGAAGATCCACTTCGACTCATTGAATAGAGAAACTCTGACTTTACAATGTATGTGGTATGCAACAAAATCTTCAGACATATGACGCACTGCCGTGCTCGCTGAATTAGGAAAGTTTTATTAGAAAAT